GCCGACCAATTTTGATTGCTCAAGTGAAAGGTAAGCTACCTAGCTGTGACACTTCGATGTGTATCTATAAATCTAGTTGCTCCTGTGGAGAAAGCTATATAGGACGAACGACTAGACAGCTTAACGAACGCATTAATGAGCATCTTCCTTCATGGTTCGGAAAAGGTCAAATAAAATCTATACAAAGTTCTATTTTGGCTCATTTGATTGATACCGGTCACCAAGTGTATAAAAATAGTGCCTTCAAAGTTATCTATCGTATTCCATCGAGTCTTTCGAATGGAATCAGAACCCGTCTTTTACACCTAGCCGAAGCTATGGGAATTCGAGAGAACAATCCTAGTCTTTACATACCTTTGTCTCTCCCTTGGCCTAGGTGAATTCTATTCAAAACCCTCCCACCCTTTCTTAACTTCCATCACCTTCGTACTTTTATAATATTTATTTGAATTCTGATTATCGTTCCACTTCAACTTTTGAGATTTGACCTAATTTATTTATTATTTGAATTATCTACATATACACATAAATACATTTACTATCTTTGTTATTCTTATCACGTGCATAAACCTTATTATCAATATTTTGTTATCATTACAATCATCGTTATTAATTTCGTTCTAAACGTTTACCACATTATTAAGATTATTATTTGATTCCCAAAGTCACCGTCATTGGTTAACATTTTTTAAAATAAGTCTATGTAAATTAGAGTAAAGCCTGAAGAAGATCTAATTGAAAACAATATTGTTCGTTTATATGTCTAAATACATTAAATGATGAATAATGTTCTGAATTGATTATTATTAAACGTGTAATCGAATAGAATATCGTTCATAAGAATAAGAGATTCAGAATAAAGTATATTTGAAGTAAATTTGCGAAGGGAGGATTACATACCAGATTATTGTAAGAATGAATGATAATCATCCCTGAACACTACTCATCAGTTAATGTTCCTAGATTGCGTAAGACTATTAAGCTAAATACCTCAATTTATTCATTCATTCTTCTTGATATTTAATTCCACCTGGGTTTTTTTACCAACTCATATTAACAGTTGACCACTATTACTAATTCCATGATGTTGTAAGAGTATTTTCCCTCAGTTATAAGACTGTGATATTATTCAGATTTATTTCATACTCTCTGTACATCTATAGAACCAATGAATCATCTATTTAGATAACGGCTGGGCATTACCAGTGATGAATTCTGGTGCAATGATAAGTAGCCCGGCAACTAGGCTTCGTAGTACAGCTGCTAAGAGGCCGAGTCAATTATCCGTAGGTTGCTAGTTCAAATCTCCCTGCTACATAGATTTTCATTTCACCTATCATTAACAAGAGGAATTAGATGAAATTATCTGGTTTAGAAAGAACAATAGACTGAGTGAGGAAATATGCATTACTTTTCAATTAGTTCCTCGTCATCGCCTGGCTAGCTCTACACTAATATATTGAGGTTAGGCGTCGAGTGCTAGGTAAGGAGGGGAAATCAATCGACGAGGCTGTGAAATTACATCGACTGAGATGGTTAGGACATGTGTTACGTATGCCTAGTCATCGCCTTCCTCGACGGGCAATGTTAGCTGACATAGGGTCAGGCTGGAAAAGAGCTAGCGGTGGTCAAACCAAAACATGGCACCAGGCAATGAAATCTATAACAGTTAGTCTAAGCCACGTAGAAAGGTGTAGACTTCCTGGTTGTTTGGGGTCCTCGGGACGGTAAAAACCAATGGTTGGAAACAATCGGTGATATGACTCAAAATCTTTCTCAATGGCTAGTGCAGATGCATCCACTCCTTGTGACTTATGATTTCCAATTAAATTGTTTTGTTCTTCGTTATTACTATACCTTTGTCTCACACCTCTGTTTACTGTCCATATTATGCATTTCTTCTACTTTCTTCTCTTGCTTTGTGTGGTACAAGGAGGGAGTGTGGCGACTTGAACTGCCGCACATCGGTGCAAAGTTCTATGTCGAAAACAGACAGACACTAATATATTGTTATTTTATAAATCAAAATGTTTTACCAATCAAGTGGTCACTTTAGCAAATCAGTTTTAGGTATAGAGGGTGCGTGTGATGAAATCAAGAGGTTAAATGTCATCAAAACAAATGACTAATAGGTGTTAGTAACAAGATATCTAAGTTTTAAAAGAAGGGTGAACATAAATTACGGAATTCAAGATAAGTTGATTCCTAGGCGCTAGCAATTAACCAGTTAATTAATGCAAAGGACAGCGAATTTACTACGATTTGCTGAAGCAATTGCAATGAAACGTTTCAGACCAAACTTATGCACAAAAAAAGAGATTGTAGTCAATGGCTGGTTCACTTGGTAACCGTATCGTTTTGATTACACTGATTAGTCATACACACTAGTGAGCTCAGCTCACTAAGCAAGTTTTCAGTCTTATGAACTTTAACCTTTTTGAATTGTTATGTTGACGTACAAGCTAACACTGTTTATTAAATTTTTCTATTTTCTGTTTTCTCTCACCCCCCCCCCTCCACCTTTTATTTCATAGTTTGATAGCATATAAATTGAAGATAACTTAAACTAATAATTGTAATACTTATATTCCGGATGCGTTCATCTTATAATGTTCTCTCTATTACCTTCCAAACATTGAAGATTGAAATGTCATTGTTTATAACCATTGTAACTTCAGGTAGTTTACAGAATAATATAATTTTATACTGTAAATCTGGTCTTTCTTTCTCTATCGAAATTCATTAATTAATATTTAATTTTCATCCCTCTTTTAAAATTTATGTATCAGGTTACTAACATCTATTAGTCATTTGTTTTGATGACCTTTAACCTCTTGATTTCACCCCACTCACCCCCATACCTAAAACTGATTAGCTAAAATGACCACTTGATTGGTAAAACATTTCGATGTAAAAAAGCAACTATGTATTAGTGTAGAGTCAGGCGATGATGAGGAACTAATTGAAAAGTAATGCATATTTCTTCGCTCAGTCTATTGTTTTTTCAAAATGCGTGAATGGGAATTTGGAAATTATCCGATTTAAACAAAAATAACAACTTGTAAAGTTTATATTTAAATGTAACATACACTAGGTATCTAACTGTGAAAAAGTAAGAATTTAGTATCAGTAAAAAGTTTGAGCATTGTGGATTAAATCAAATAAAGTATAATTATATTTCAATAGTTTACTCACAATGATAAGTTTTGTTATTGGTATAAAGAGGCTACGAAAAATACTTGAGCTCAAATCTGTTTTTAGTTAGCATCGGGTTAACATGTTCCTTCTGGATAAAGGAAATAATGAAGGAATCTACAAGATTTCATGATTACCTTGGGATAACTATTTTGAAGACATTTTTTTCGTTTTAAAAGTGGAACACCTACTATCGAGCTTGTTATTTCAAGTAATATGAAGTAAATAATTTTTTAGGAACTTCATTTATTTATTTCCTTTTATGAATTTGAATTGAGCAAAAACAACAGTTTCTTGCAGAATAGTATGGTACCATCTTTTATTACGTTGGCTTCTCGTCAGCTGCTTACACCTTGAATAAATAATTATTAAGCTAATGTACAGAAAAGTTTTAACATACTGGCAAATTTTACATGATGTCAGTTGACAGGAGATTCCGGAATTAGTGAAAAGTTCTCAGAAATTACACTTATATAGTTTTTACAGAGGGAGTTCAAGTTTGAACAAAGTAAATGTATACATGGAATGGTAAAGGAGTTACGTAATACAGACGAGAGGTACAAAAGATGATGAGTAACTAATAAATTGGGTGACAATATACCCAGTAAAGCTCAAATCAGAGAAACAAAAGGCAAGCAAATTACACTACACATCATGTAAAATTTGCAAGTATGTTAAAACTTTTCTGTTTATGAACTTAATAATTATTTAGTCGGGCTGTAAGTAGGTGACGAGAAGCCAACGAAATAAATCATGGTACCATATTATTCTGCAAGAAACTGTTGTTCTTGCTTTATTCGAATAAATCATTTTATTGTGTAAGTTCACAAAATGTTTCTTAGAAAGTATAAATTATGCACAGCATCGAAAGTTCCTTAAGTGCTTCATTATCACCTGATTACAGCATCAACAAATCTGTCATCGTAAATTCATCATTAGTTCTGTTTATTGTCAAATGCAATCAGTAAATAGATTCGGCAATAAGAATGGCGAAATGACAGAAAATACTATTCATGGACTGTTAGATTCCATCCAAGTGGCTGAGTGGTCAAAAGGTCCTGGAATCGATACCATGTGAGGTCATGGGTGTGTGCTGATGATGCATCTCAGGCCAGCATGAAACATTTGTCTACTACTCCCTGATTGTTATTGCTTCTCTAACTGATAATAATCCATGATCAAACTTCAGACAGACCGTTCTTTGTTGAAGAGTTGTAAACTTATGTATGTTAAAGTCAAAATCTGCTATGAAGAAGACCAATGAACATTGCGAAGAACTAATTGCATACAAAGTTTGTTTGTTGTATTGTAACAAGAAAAGGCAAGACATGGAAGCCAAAGTATATTTTTCATTGATCAAACCGCCATTCATATATCTAAAGTCTATGTTCGTTAACCTATAAGTGAACGTGTGATTTCGGTTTATATCAAACGACATGAAATACAATGATCAAATATACATATTATTCTGTTGCCAATGCAGTATACAACCGTGGAAAAGTATTCTGTCTCAAACATCAAAAAGAATGTTCAAATAGATATATCGTATTTTGTTGCTAATGCCGAATTGATTTGTGGGAATATGTGAGAATAATATTCCATTGGCACACATTGTCTGTGTCACCCCCCCACAGTGTTAACTAATCACTAAGCTTTCTTTGTATGTTTAGGACGTGATCCGATTAATGTAATGAACAGTCTTACTGTTGTCAATACCATTTGTAATCTTACCCCCCAAAAAATAATAATTGAACATAAAAATATTTAAAGTATAATAATAATAGCATGTATTGTTTTTGTTTTACCTCTTTTTGTTTATCTTTTAAAGCAAGTTGTGTTTCATAATCTGCTTGAAGTTTTTGCTGATTAGTTAGCTTTTTAATCCATAAGTTTTCTTCTTCTTCTCTAGCCTTTTTAGCATTCTCTTCAAGAATTAATGTTTGACGTATATCTTCTAGTTCTTGACGTTCTCTTTCTTTGCGCAATAATTCTTTGCCTAATTCATCCTAAAAATTTTAAATAGGGATGAAGAGAACATGTAAGAAGAATTATGTGATAAAATACAATAAATTTATACAATAGTTTATAAAGAAAATTGGGCAAAGTTAAACTTTAAGCACCACTAACTACCAATCAGCGAATGAACTCGAACGCACCAATCACGTGAAGGAGGCATTTTTGTGTATGGAATACACATATTTATGAAGAAATAGCATAAAAACTGCATAAAAGTATTACAGAGGATACCTTCCTCTAACATGTGATAAAAATAGCTCTCAGTTTTAGGATTCAGTATCAACAGAGTATAATTCCATTGTGGGAGAAACTTATTTTGATAAAGTCTCATAGTGTAATACAGTAATATTTCCTGAGCAATAAATTGTGCTCGGAACGTCATGAGTAAATATTACTGTATAACACCCTTAAACTTTATCAAAATAAATTTTACTCACAATGGAATTATACCCTACTACAGTGCACAACTTCTATTCTTATATCAACAGAGAAATTTAACCACATTCTGTGCATGTAATTATTTACGTCTTCTAACCTTAATCTTTCCTGAGCCTAAATCTAAAGTGAAAATATCCCTAAACTAACTGTTATCTAACTCGGACCAAACCTACTGTCACCTCTGTTAGGTTAACCTAACCCTAACTTGTCCTTGACTTAAGGAGTAACTTAATCTTTCTAAAACCTACGCTGAAACTTGCCAGATATCCCATTTAATAACATAACACTTCGATTAGCGTATTTTATTGATGATGACAACATTATTGGCCGGATTTCACTAACTTGCTCAGTGAGGGTTTCAGGGGCATTGGTGCGGTCATACTCCATTGGTAGTTAGTGGTGCTTAAAGTTTAACTTAGCCGAAAATTGTGTAGGTGAATCAAAGAAATTCATCCATCCACTTGAAATTCGAGCACTTTCATTTAAAACAGATTGAGATTGAGGAAGTTGGATTACGAACAACAGCGGCAGCCTGCTTAAATCTTGTGCTATGAAAAACTCCCATCTTCTCTCATCCGCTTTGTTTTAATCGATTAAAATATGACCTCCTTTGGTATTTTTTACTTTTGCGAGTATTTAAAATGTTTACAACATGCTGATTAGCAAGTTTCTGCTAAACTTCAGAAAAGGCCTGATTGTGGATGGCAACATATCTTTATACATGAGATAACTGTTCTTGGGTTATATCCTTGAGTCTCAAAACATACAGTTGGCTTTCAACCAAATGTAATGGAGTTCTCGAAGGAGACATAACAGGAGAGAGAGCATTGTGCTACAGGATCTACTGTCAATTAATATTTCATTTCAAGATCCTGTAAGGAGGGAAAATATCATGCAATAAACTCCGCTAAAAATTATGTACAATATACAGACACTGTCCAGAATAAGGCCATTATTACTGTTATCATTGTGTTTGGAGAAGTGGGAGCGCAGTTGCTGTGGTTGTGTGTCTCTATACTCTTTCAGTGTTACCCTTAACTCATTGTATTCTTAAGAAGTCATAAGCCTTATATTTTCCCTGTATTAGTTAGGGCAGTGCTGGAAGCAACCTGGCTGTTAGATTTGAATGGACTAGGCTAAAATGTCCGCCGCCTGTGTAAACAAAACGTAGTATCATCAGAATCAGCTGCCGCGCAACAATCATGAACGTTATTTGTGGTTGAGGCCCATGACCTTGTAAATAACTAGCTTCCTAGAAGTGCTTAAGTTGAAAATATTTTTTTATGGATAGGGTTAAGGCGGTGGCCTGCTTGAATCACTGGGATACTTCAATTTCCATCCAACACAATGCATCATATTTTCTTGTTGTTTTAACCATTCAAATATGTCCTTCAGTTACAAAATGTATTCACGCACATTTCTCGGAAACGAAAGAAAAAATATCACAAGGGATTAGTCCATGCTTCAGATCGAACAGCATTCCGTCAGATGATATACTATAAATTGCTATTTTACTTTAAGGTCTTGGATGAAGAGAAAATATCAATGAATAGGTAAACATTTTGTCCACAATCAAGCTATTGTTGTTATTATTAAAATGATGAGGCTAGGATTTATAGCTGAAGTGGATGTTTTTGGTGTTATTGTGTCATCTGAACTGGATGTTTTAGTTACAGTTAGTCCAAATGATTGATTAGAGGTGATTTGAAGTATGTATAATGAAGACGTTAACTATGTCCTCAAAAGTAGATAAACGACAATAATAATACATGGCTTGATGTCAACTTTACGAACACAAGTTATCTAATCATGTGTCCAAGTATTTCAGAAAGTAAATGTAGCGTTATTGAACTCAGTAACACAAATTAACTGAATACAACTATCCTCCCTCACTATCTTCTACTTCACTACACACTATTTCCTAGCAGTTTATTTTAACACATACTTAAACTAACTACTTAAAGTCATAAATAGTAGTATTTAACTTGGCAACCGTACTTTAGTCTATTTGCAAAACTATTAGGTCGTTGGAGGCAATCAACAGGATGCCTCGGATCTAGGTTTCGCAGCAAATGGAACTCGTCAGCGAGGCGTACTTGCAACCTTGGAGGAACTCATGTCCCTTCTGAGATTCGAATTCGCGTCACCCAGTGATGCAGTCACAGATGTTACCAATGAGCTATTCGGGCTCGTGATTAACCTCCTGTAGGACTGTATTGGATACTTTTGATTGGAAACTAGTTGGTAATATCTGTAACTGCAGCTCTGGGTGACGCGGGTTCCAATCTCAGAAGGGATATGACTTCCTTCAAGGTTGCAGATACACCTTGTTGACAAGTGCCAACTATCCTGAAACCTAGGTCAAGCAAGGCTTCCTGACGATTGCCTCCAACCATTTCATATCAACAGTTCAAAGTGCACCGTGATGGCGAGCCTCCTAGAATGGTGGCCACATTGCAAACTTGACTGATAGATTTCAGTCTGCACCAAAGATAGGACTAAACACATTACACTAGTTACTAACTAGTGTCCATTCAAAAGCATTCGCAAAACTACTATCTGTGCCTAATGAGTGAAAAAGAATCATAATCATAGTATATTTCTGTCTTTACTCTGACTATAAACAATTTATTCAGATTAGAATAACCAGACGCCTCGGAATAGAGAAAAACAGTCAAAATAACACACACTGATTACTTATCTTGTTTTGTATGAGGTGTGATAAAGATTTGACTGAATAGTTCCAAAAATATTGATCATCGAGTGAGGAGTAGACAAATATAACTTTTAAGTTATTTTCGTTGATGGTGAATACCTGTGGAAACCAAGATGAGAATTTCACCCTACTAGGGACTCGCCAGCTTCATCTTGGTGTTTGGAATAATGCGTGTAGGGTTCTAGTCACAACTGAAACACTATCACTCACTAAACATTTAGCTACATTCAGCCATCGAATCGCAAATAGGATGAAATTCATGTTGTGGATTCCACTGGTAGTCACCATCAACTGAAATAACGTCACGTCAGTCTTCAGACATCGTCACAGCCTCAGAACTAGGAGCCAGCATGTCAATGGAGAGCGAGGATTTTAGTCCAATATAATCAACAAATGGGAAATGCAGACTAATCTGAAAATATAAAACCCTGATTAGTTATTGGTTCATGAGTGATTAGAGACATGATATGATATTATTGTTCCAAATATCAATCAAAGTAGAGAGTTTAGAAATCATTTACATAATAAATTACCTGTAATTTTTCAATTTGTTCTTGTCTGGCTTTGATCGCAGCTTTTGCAGCATTTTGTTCATCATCTTTCTTTGCTGTATAAGCATGAATAGCCTCCAATTCATCAGAAAGTTTTTGTTTTTCAGCCTTTAAGTAGTCTTCGCGTTCTTTTTGATATTGACTTATCTCTTGTTTAATTAAATCTTTCTGTTTTCGACGTTTTTCTCTTTCACTGTTTTACATTGTAATTAAATCAATATAGAAATTATTAGTAATAAAAGGACAATGAGAAATAGTTTATCGTTGATAAACAGTAGAATTCATTTGATGAATTTATGACCATATACTGATTGTTTTGAATGTGAAACCTTATGTACTTGCTACATAATCGTCCCCCTACAATGAGCAATATGAACTGAAGTAGAGTTGGGTCACGGAATAAAATAATAAAGTCTAGAATAAAAACTGACAGTCATATACCAGGTTTCTGAAAATAAAAGGGTGAAGACCACTTGGATAAGTTAGGTGATGTAACCCGAAATGGACCACAATAGTCCTGACGTATTCACTCACTCCAACCATTTTCAACGCTATGGATATTTTCGACTAACCTCCCTATAATTACTGTCTCTTCTTTCATAAATATATTTTCTCAATACAGTAGTGTCATACTGTTGCTAGTTGGCAGAAGAAGCATCAAAGATAGGTGAACATAGGTGAACATAGAGAAGACAGAGGTGATGAAGATTCCTGGACAAGAACAACAACAACAGACAACGATCAGCATGAATGGGAGGAACCTGAAAGAAAAAACCTCCTTTACCTACCTTCCTCGGAAGCATCGTTTCAACTACAGGCGGACGGAACTGACGAGGATATCAAAGCAAGAATCGGAAAAGAAAGACAGGCTTTCACTACTCTCAAGTCTGTGTGGAGGTCAACAGCACTCAGCATCAAAAATAACATCCGGATTTTCAGCTCCAATGTGAAGTCAGTCACTGCTACTATACGGATCAGAGACTTGGCGAGCGCGTCATAAAGAGCATCTCAAACAAACTACAGACCTTCATTAACAGTTATCTTCGCTCAATACTCAAGATCAGATGGCCAGAAAAGATCAGCAATAGAGATCTCTGGGAGCGAACCAACCAGGAACCGGTTGTGAAACAAATAAGCAGGAAGAAATGGAGATGGATTGGCTGGCCATACTCTGAGGAAACCATCAAGTGACATCACTAGACAAGTCATTGCTCGAGTGGAACCCGTAAGGGAAGTGGCGAGTTGGTCGTCAGTGCAAGGGTGACTTGGAGGAGGTCATGTGAAGAGGAGATGAAAGCGTGTGGGCAGACTTGGAGCCAGGTGAAGATTCTAGCAGAGAACCGAACGCAATGGAGACGCACGGCTGAAGCCCTATGTTTCTCTAGGAATTACAGGAAACAATAATAATACTGTTGCTATCTTGTTTTACAGTGTTTTGAAGTCAGACAACTTCAAGTGGTATACTTCTGTTTCATAATAATGTGCCTATTTTTCTATTGTGTCAAGATTAGTTATACTACCTGGCTGCCCAAACTTCGATAGGCGGAGCAGGTTTGAACTCATGACACAGTTGGGTAGAATTCAATTGCTTAGACCAATGAGAAGCATCTGTAAACTTTTACTTATGTAAAATGTTCAAAATCTGTTATGCTGAAAACTGTTCAGTTTTCCTATGGAATATCTATTAGTCAGTAAGAAGCTTTCAAACAGCTGTGAGATTTAATATTCAGAAATGAAAAATACCAACCAGTTTAAGAATGAAACAGGAGAGAAATGTAATGAAACTATATTGGATGAAGATTTGCGCGCGCGAGAGAGGGGGAATAGTTAGATGAATATTACTGACGATTATGGCAGTCCGATAACAAGGGGTGAATACACATCTGTGACATTGTAAATGATCTATCAGTCATGTTACCGACAATTACCAGCTATTGGTTATTAATATCCTGAGGTCCGCAGAGAGTTACTCTGTACCCACTAAGTGACTAAACCCAACATTTATCTGGTCATCCCTAAATCTTCTCAAGCTTAATTATATTTCAGCTAACATCAACCGTCCATGTAGGTGGTGGTAAAAGAAGCAGTAGATGTAGATTTTGTATTCGCTGACATGGCCACCAGTAAGGTGTGCCTGCAAGTGTAAGGAAACTTATGTCGTCGTGTCACAGATGGTAATCTATTTCACTGAGCAGTGATTAGAACATCATATAAAAAGTAGTTCCTTAAAGTAACATTTAACTGAAACTATTATGTATTTTAATACTTTTCAGGTACTTGATTCGAAAAGTCTTGCATTACACCATGGTTTTGTTCTTTGAATTTCTGAGGAGACCATACTAGGAAGCTGTGGACTAGTCAACCAGCTGGCGTGCAGTTTTTGATAATAAACAACGTCAGAATGAAGATACCAATGCGATTACAAAAAAGGTCTCTGAGCTATTAGCTAGACTTACTACCGTATGAGCTATGAACCCTACTATAATCCAGGCTTTTCATTTAAAATTTTGACTTATCAAATAGTGCACATGAAGACATGAAAAGATTATCTGTCTCCGATCATAGGTGTCTGCGTTCTATCTCCCTTGTGAAGTGATATGATAAGGTGAGCAATATTGAGGTTAGGCATCGAGTGCTAGGTAAGGAGGGGAAATCAATAGACGAGACTGTGAAGCTACATCGACTCAGATGGTTAGGACATGTGTTACGTATGCCTAGTCATCGCCTTCCTCGACGGCCAATCTTAGCTGATATAGGGTCAGGTTGGAAAAGAGCTAGCGGCGGTCAAACCAAAACATGCCTTCATTAGTCAGTGAAATCTACAACAGTTAGTTTAAGACATCCACGTAGGAAGGTGTAGACTTCTAGGCTGGTTGGGGTCCTCGGGACGGTAAAAACCAATGGTTGGAAACAATTGGTGACATGGCTCAAAATCGTTCTCAATGGCTGGTGCAGATGCATCCACTCCTTGTGACTTATGATTTCCAATGAAACTATATTGTTCTTCGATATTACTATTCCTTTGTCTCACACCTCTGTTTACTGTCTCTATTATGCATTTCTTCTACTTTTTTCTCTTGCTTTGTGTGATACATGGAGTGTGGCGACTTGAACTGCCGCACATATGTGCAAAGTTCTATGTCGGAAACCGACCGACCGACCGCACATGAAACTATCACTGAATTCCCTCTTTGAGACAAGTTAAAGCAGAATGAAAACGCAATTGACATACTTTTCATCTTCTTGTCTTATCCTGTTGACAACTTCATCAATCATTTGTTTGTCGCGTAGAAATTCTTCATAGGCTTTTTTTCTTAATTCAGCTTGTTCCATCATTTGTGCATCTAATTCTTTACGATGTTTCATTTGAGATTCTTTTCGACGAGTTTCTTCTTCTTCAGCTACAATTAAATCATCGCCAAGTTGTGAGGCTAATTGATGCGCTTGTAAAGCTTCTTCAGTCTTACAGGGGAAAATAGAAATCATAGTAAAAGCTTCTATACAGAAAATTACAGTTTTACAAGTGTGTTTTTATATATATTTATTTATTTTTTGATTATAGCTTGAAACCACACCGTATTTTTGGTACAAGTATGGAATTATCAGCATGCGATATCGGTAGCCCAAATTTTGCAGACTGACCATTGAAATCAGGTGTGCGTCGGCAGGGGATCGAACCTCGGATCATGTGCATGGTCGGCGAGAGTCCTAACCGCTGTGCCACCGACGCACACATATACATATTGCCTAGGACGAGAAAGAGACTCGTTTGGTGTTCCTCAGGCTATTCGACATAGTCAAAAACACAGGCCTTGATGAATGAGGTAGGCAGAGTTGTTGAAAGGAGGACTTAAATATCCTTCACCAAGGGTATTCGATGTTTTACTGCTGTTAAATCCTTTGATGCTTGATCTGAATTACTAAAACTGTATCATCTCAAATGTACACTGATCAGTCACTTGATAACATAACTTATATTCAACTGATACGAGAGGCTCTATATCATTAACTGAAAGCAGTTAGAATTTATGAGTCGTTGGATTCCTACCCAGTAGCTGAATGGTGAACGGACTTGTGTCGTAAACCGGATGTTTTGATTTAGATCCCTGTAAGCTTAATGGCTGTGTACTGCTGAAAAGTCATAAAGTAGGATGGAATTACTGTCAATTGTTTCTTAGTCTTTCAACGGTAATCAAAATGATGTTGGCTCAAGAGGAAATCTACTCTCATGTATAATCATTCAGTTTGTGACTCTGTCAACTTATATCTCAACATAAATTTATTCCTGTTTACCTTTACTTTGTATGTTTTTGTGACATAACATATTATGGAAGGTAGAAAGCTGATTTACATATCTCAACTTGTTCCAGAATATTACATGTTATCGCATCTAAACCAATGCGTTGAGTACCTTCCAATAACTAGATTCACAGTGTAAGTGACATGGAATTTACTAGTAATTTCACTGTATATTAAGCCGGTGGTATGAAAAGCAATGTATTTAACAGAATATTTACAGTACATGATAAAAATGATTTTAATGTCATTTTCAGAGATGTAGAAAATCGAAATTCATATTTTAATGTTGGTTATCTTCGATTGTTCTTCTCTTTCATCTAGTCACTTATTTTCCGAGCGGAACACAGGGTTTCAGGCATGAAGCCTTGCGTTTTCAGTAACCAGCGTGTTGATTTTATCCAAGGCGGTGTGGGTGGTTGCCAGCCTAACACCCAACTTTCTCACTTTTCTGAGCTTACTATTGGCCAGTAAACTAGACACAGTTTAAGAGTTAGTCAGTCAGGAGATCAGACCCTGAAGCACGTGCATGGTTGGTGTGCACCCTACCTTTAAACCACAGACACAAAAACCAACAACACAGTATTCCTAGCTGGTCACGCACGCATTTACTAACGGGGCCTATCGTTGCTTAACTTCAATGATCGAACGAGAACCGGTGTTTTCAACATGGTTTGGTCACGGACTACTATTCAAAGCATCAGATTATTCCCTGCTGAGTAAACAAATAATAACATTTACCCCTTTTTCAATAGATAAGGAGTTGTGTAACACTTTGTTATGTCTTTCCAATGACGACTCTGTTTATGGAAGTACTAAAAAGGAACAATTAAAATCATATTAAGTTGGGAACTAACTGAATTCAAATAGTTAGAAAAAATGCTTAGGACTAGACACATGATATTAGTTAGTCCCACGTGATCAATCAATGTATTCACTGCAGTCCCACAGGAGGTCATCTGTGAACCTAACTGCTACCCCTGACTGAATGATGGAGTGACGCGGGTCGAAATCCTAGAGGAAACACCAATTTGGAACACCATTTATTGTTCACAAGCATATGAAACGCCAGTTTCTCCGAGGTTTCAGATATGCCTTAGTGAAGAGTGTCAACATATACGAAACCTAGGCCTCGAAGGCTTCCTGCGATTTGTCTACAACCGTCTGATATCAGGATATTTTTAAGAGTATAATAATATTTATATACCAAATGATCCCTGTTTGATAAACAATATATTCTTTTCTGCCTTCAATTGAATGTTTTAAGTGCTAAGCTTTCATCGACAATTCTAGACATCTTTAGTGTTAATTTCGTCGTGAAGTTAAACCACTGGACCCAAATTAAAACACAGTAACACCAAAACTATACATCTGAAGTAAAAATAATTCCCCCATCATTCCTCATGTTTATCAGTTCACACACAAGGAATCAGTAATAATAATAAAGGAAATATTAATTAGTAACTAACCATCAAATCATAAGCATGTGCACGTTTTTCAGCAATCTGGGCAAGTTGTTGTTTAGCCACATAAGCACTACGAAGTTTGTTTTCCAGTTCACGAAGTTCCATACTTATAATGAGAAAGAAAAAAGATACTGTTTGTGAAACGTTGTCTTTATTACAGACAAGAAATGTATAATGAAACTCCAGTATAACTTAGGATTCAAATATGACCAATTAAATTATGCCATGATAGTTTCCAGTCAGATTTGTATTTATATGCGACTCTCAAAGAATTTCGAAGTTATTTATTTTGTGGTGGCTAACGATTCAATCGGCGACCCCATTTTGTCCTATTTAGGACTCGTCATCTGGGTGTACCTGCAATCCCTAGTGAGTGATGCTCCTTCCGTTGAGACACGAACCAGGCATTAATTGTTTCAAACGCTAAAGCGTCTCAAACTGACTCATTGAACCATGAGAGCCACCACTTGTGCACTAAAGTTAATAATCGTGGCAGGGCTATCGCGCTGACTATAAGACGACTGTAAAAGTATTCATCAGTAACGGCAGTTGATAATTGCACATTAATTAATGTCGTCCTTTCTAGTTTCAAATTCAGAAGGAATAGTTTCAACCAAGTTTGTTTTGTGCCAACCGATTTGGGACATCAGTCATCACTGTTCACTCTTGGTTGGGGTTAGATACTTGGATTCAATCTGTAGGAATCGACAGATTCAAGTATCGTGTTTACCAGCAGTGCTCAATTACATGAGTCTGTATTCCTAATGGAAACCATGTCACCTCAGATGCTTAAACTGGTGTCATCCAGTATCACACTTAAAACTTCGGCTTAGCTGACTGTATTCATCCAATGGCTAGACAATCTGTCGAATAGGCTATTACAATAGGTCACGTGTGATTCAAATAAATAAGTGGTATGTTTCTGACTACTGCACTGAATGATACTTCGAAAGTTTGGGGGATACAATGTTCCTTAAATGTTATGCCTATATTATCCTGAAGAAAGACTGCTGGCGTAAAATCTAAATCTGATATCCTTTACTAACAAACTTTTACTACCTAGCATCAATAAGCCGTGTATCATAAAATTTGCAAATATTTTATAACTTGGAACTTAATTGGTGGATGGTGACTAGCAGTGGAATCCAGGATGCGCATTTCGTCCTATTTGGCACTCGTCACTGGATGTACCTGCGTTCCCCAGTGAGTGATGATGTTCCCACTTCGGTCCAATGAATCGACGGGAAAATCTAAAATTCAATTAAATAATTAATATGACCCGTTGCACAAGAGGTGGCTCTCGTGGCCCGAGTGGTCTAGTGGATAACGCTTTGGCGTTTGAAGCTATGGGCACTGGGTTCGAGCCTCAGTGGGAACATCATCACTCACTGGGGAATGCAGGTACATTCAGTGATCCCAAACTGATGTAGGTTTGTAACGTTAGAAGACTTGCTCCCTTAATGTCTCCCATATGTCTCTGCAGCGCTGTATCATTTGTTTTCTCCAACATCAAATCTATCATCCTACTATTTGATATTTTTATGCTGATAAACATCTCTTTATATACATTATAATAAAGGTTTTTGTATTTCCCAATGAATGAAAAACAAAACGATATTGTTTTTACTGACGTTTCGCTATTTAATGCTGCTAATAGCTTTATCAAAGTATTATTAAACCTGAATTTACAAGATCTCAGCATATATATAAGAAACAGTTAGGGGGTGAGAAAATAGACACAGGTCAAGTTAAAGGGACATATTGAAAGTAAAAATAGAAATGAAGATAACTAAACCAAATAACGAAGGTAATAGTATGTCTTCAGAAATCACAAAGAACGTCTAATATCAGAAGCACTTCATATCAAGTGGAATCCAAATTGCCTGAATAGGAATGACAGACTAAAACAGAATCTGACCTGGTTAAAACACCTCCCTCCCCCACCAAGTGACAAAATCAACACGAATGTGATAAGCAAGTTCACTATGTAAACGCACACTACTTTTATAATTTTACACACCGATCAAATCCAACAATCCACACTTGATTTTGTTATCTTTACCAATTGGCCAATTTGACAACTAAAAATGCCCCCAAACGTACGAACGATGATCAAGTTAGTAAACTTTATTTTGATATCATAACAGACATACTATTACCTTCGTTATTTGGTTTAGTTATCTTCATTTCTATTTTTACTTTCGATATGTCCCTTTAACTTGACCTGTGTCTATTTTCTCACCCCCTAACTGTTTCTTACATATATGCTGAGATCTTGTAAATTCAGGTTTAATAATACTTTGATAAAGCTATTAGCAGCATTAAATAGCGAAACGTCAGTAAAAACAATATCGTTTTGTTTTTCATTCATTGGGAAATACAAAAACAACCTTTATTATAATGAATATCATATACCCAAAGCCCAAATTTTTCAAACCTTTAGAAGTGAACTTGGTTTGGACATATACATCTCTTTATATACTACTGATAAATCTTATCAGTAGAGTACGCCACAGGCTGGCGACGAAATCTACATCGAAATCAATCGATATCCCTACAAAAATACATAATCTAAAGAGTAATATTCGACTTAGGTATAACAGAGAAGAATTATAACTCAGGTAGATGATTTTGGTGCATTTGTTTTCTCTGTGCTAGATGGTTTAGTTGCGAAGCCTTCATTATCTCACTAGACAACCTCCCCATCGCTTAACAACCTCCTTCGTGAAATAGACATCAAATTTTGGATGATCTAAATATTATTCCGTTTTGGCTGATGAAAAAATTTTTGGACCACGTCGAATATATACATTGGAAGGGGTAGGATTTGAGGGGTAGAATATGCGTACTGTAGATAATACAATTGTTTCCTCTCTGCTTATCGACACCTTCATCTCCTAAAGACTTATATGCGTATATCTTATTCACTGTTATCTTACATGATTGGATAGTAGAAAAAATAAAAATTATTATTTCAACAACAACAACAAAAGACGATTAACTAACCTTTCATTTCTAATTTTTTGTCGTAATTTTTGTTCACTTAATCTTTCAAGCTGAATTTTAGATAATTGTTTTGCCAATGATTCATCCAGTGAAGAAAGTGAATCTGTACGAGATGTGATTACATTCTAAACATGAAAACAAAAATTATACGATTTAATGATTTTACTTGACAGTTATGGAATTCAGACTTTACTTTAATTGTCCCAGTGGAGAATAAAGATAACACTACGTAGGGATATCCTTGTTTTTTCTTTCGCGTTCCCCAATGGAACATAGGGCTTCAAGCTAGTGGCTTGAAGTTTCTGTAGCAGTGTTTATTTTACAGGATGGGGTTGCTAGCCTCATGCCCAACCTTTTCTCTTTACCAGAATTATTTCTGGCTCAGCGAGGTTAAGGAGTGTGTCAGCCGGGGATCGAACCCCGGACCATATGCATGGTCGGCGAGCGTCCTAACCGCTATGCCGCCGACGCACTTATCTCCTTGTAAACCCTAAATAATCTTTGCTGTTTAAGTTGTTTGTGTTAACTGCTTTTCTCTTTTTGTATAGAATCCGTGTCACTGAATAATGCACTTTGTTGCTTACTTGTAGAGTTGTAAACAACTATTCGCCCAAGGATTTGAATCAATACGTTCTAGGATTGTAGTTGGAGAATTTATCACCAAACTGTTTTGGCAGTGGAACCAAATGAGACATTTAAGAAATATCCAGTTTGGCTGAGCAATGGAGAGCGTAGAGGTATTAATTCACCCATATTGCAGCATATTGTAGATACTGACAACGCGGCATCTGACACATCGTTCAGTATAGTCTACAAAGTCCGACAAAATTTGCCGAAAGCGATACGAGTGCATCTGCTTAGTATAGCAGAGGCTTTAGCAATACATAACATAAAGCCAGAACTTTGTGAACGAAAGCAATTTTGTACGATCTCTTTCCTTACCATGCCCGATTCAGCATCCTCACAAATGAGAAAGTTTCTGATTAGTAGAGGACAGAATATCTTTCCAGAAGAGCCACTACTACTACCTCAATTTCCTGGAAGTGTTATAAAGACGTCCATGAAACCTTTCACATTTCTACGACTGAAGGACTGAAAAATGAAACTAGAAAAGATATCAACACCTACACCATCAGATGTTCTTTGATTAAATTTAAGCTTTCACCTTGAGAAAAATAAAACAGAAAACTACGTCCGTGTTCTTCTTAAGCTCAATAATTAGATGTAGGACACTATCACTTATATCCACTTGTTCTTCTATAACATGAAGAGAAAAAGTAAGGACACAAACATGCTAAAAATTCGATTCTGATGTCACAGATGTAAGGCCTGAAGATTTTACAGTTGGTTAGTTCTTGGATATATAAAACAGATCTGGATAAATGACTGATGTGACGAAACGAACGTCTGAGTTTAGAAAAACAGGTCGAATAATTAGTGCGTATATCCCTGTAATGCCACATATAACAATTAGCCGTAAAGTCAACGAAATGGTACCGTACATTCATTAGGATATAAGAGTTGGTTCGGCGGCTTCAACTGAGCATGTATTTGACAGATATGAAGCCGCAAGCTGAAAAATTTACCTGAAGAGATGCATTATCACGACTGAAGTTACAAATGAGTCCTGGCTATAAAGTGAGAATTTCTTGCAAAACTATTGCGGCGTGTTGGGAACCAGGAACAGGTGAGGCCGGTGAGGTCAACTACCCACTGATTAATCGAGAAGAGTTAGTAAATGTTAATTCTTGTGCCTGTTTTAATATGGAGCTTTCGCCAACTGTTTCCGAATTCTCACTAATACAGAATATGCAGATGACAAAACTTTACACCATGTATCATGAGCACTATGCAAAGGGCTTAGGATTCACTCATCCAAACAAGGCTATCAGTGAACTTGGACACCTCTCTCTGATGAGAAAAATTGATTAATGCGGCATTTGAATTTGACACTTATTATCTAGTGCATATTCAAAAGCATTTCCGTGTCCAAGTATATGGAACACATGTGTGCTGTCGACTAGACGGCTGAGAAAGCTTGGAGGAAATTCAGTACTTAGTTACGTCTTTTTCTAACCTTGGTGTATCCCCAACTTATCACTTTTTTGAATGACAACTGACTCTCTACCTGTAACGGCAAATATTTCCGTGTTTCATTCTAGTGATTGAAAGTACGTAGTCAGATGCCTGATTGTCATCTAGTTAGACTGAAATGTGTAGTCTCTAAGTTACTTAATCTATCATAGGAGGTAAATTACTAGTATGTGCTAAAAAATATAGCTTACTGGTGAGTGAGCGGAGGGATTTTCCATTAGCTGCCCATTTAATGAAAGCATTTCTAACCGGAGAGAATAGGGAGAAGCAACTTTAATAAATTTATGCTTAAGCATCCGCTAAAGCGTTTCACTTAGGCTAACTAAGGAAGATAAAAGGATTCTGTTTTGATATGGTCTGACATAGTTAGTTTAAGGAATGCCTACATGATGGATACTGTTCCCCTTTGCAGTATATCTCTGAGGTGTCATTGCTAAACGTATGTGGCAGTTTCGAAATATCCTGAAACTGCCATTTAGTAAGCTGCAGTCAGAGTTCAAATACTCGGGTAAGGCTATTAGAAAATTGAACCTGTCACAAGAATAGCTTTTGCAAATTCCACCGACAGATGTTTTTAGGGATATCCTGGTTCTTCACAGGGTTACATAATTTATAACTATTACAGCAAACGACTTCACTACTACCATGTATTACATGACGGGAAAGCAGGGACGTTGGTTACGATTAAATTTTGTAAATGAGTGAAAGCGACGGATTACAGCATGTTTTTCTCCTAAGTATGAATTGGAATGTAAGCAATCTTGCGGAACCTCAAGATGTGATGCGTACGCATACGTATGTTACGCGTCAACCGTGAATAAAGTGGAAGAAATAATTACAGAATAAAAGACTTAATACCCGAAGACAGAAAGGCTATATACCAGATTCATCAGGTGAAAACTGGAGAAAATGCATATTCATTTTAAAGTAAATTACCATAACTAACTATGGAAGATCTGCTTCAGGAGTGAGATTGAAACATTTGACATATATTACTCTTGACGATAACTGCACAAAAAATATGATACAATATGCAGTGATATTCATGAATGTAAACGCCTACATAATATTTATTTGTGTATAAACAAGTCTGCATTTAGTTACGTAAAAACAGCTCACTAACTCAGAAACAAGAAACTTAAACCCTAGTGAACATAGACGTATACTAACCTGGCTAACCAAACAGATGCAGTCATGTTAAACACAAAGTATAATGAATCCTAATCGAAAACTAACCATTGTGCCGTACACATTTAAAAATTCACACGCACAAGTATCCTAGTAGCAGTGACCTTCACCACATTTTCCAATTCAATTTCCAATTTCGTTTCAACGAGATAGTGTTAGCTGAATTGTCTTCTTTGTGCATGATTATTTGTTTTAAGGCAAAGGTACTTATTCTTTGTTGCTAACCACTAGGCTGCAGCAGCTATAGTTGACTCGAAGGGGAAATGGACTAGAATTGGTTATATTACGTTTATGGCCCGTGGTATGTTAAGGCTGTGTTGATACTATTAATGAAGTTTGTCTTTCAACCGTTAGTCGTCCGATGTTGTCGAAAAGAGAATAATAACAGGTATAATTAGTGTGGATTATGTAGACTGAAAAAAAGAAAAGAAAATGTACAGATGGTTAGTGAAGTTCGAAATTAATATATATATATATATATGTATATATCAATAGTAATAACATAGGGAAGCGAATATATGCAGTAGTCAGAAAATTAGGACAATGGAGAATAAGAAGTAGTAAAATGGTGAGTTTATGTGAATCCCCATTAATAGTGTGGGAGTTTCAAGGGTATATGTCGTTCGGACACAGTCTTTGTGCCACTGCATAGTTATCCAGACTCCGCTTAAAGCTTTCCACGGACAGTCCAGTAGCCGCATCTGCTAGTAGAGGGTTTTAGTGGATGCTAACTAGAAGTGAAAAAAGGGAGCTCACTCGAGTTCTTGCTGTCTTGTACGCTATTCTTCGTGGATAACCAAGAGGAAGCCCACATGTGCCTACTGAAAAAGTACATTTGTTTGAGTTGCTCTGGTTATCTACAGTCTTCCAGACAGTGATCAGATCACCCGTACGGCTGAAAAATTCTTTATCTGATGCATTTTGTTTAGAGACACATGCATTTTGAATTTCACCTGTAATTGACAATTTCGTGCAATATGGACTGCTTTAAATTCATTATAAAGCTTTGTGTCTTCTGAGTTAAAGGGAACATTTCATTACTTGTGTTATCTCTGAAATAGGCCATGAATATTCCATTTTATAGAAAGCATGGAAGTATTTTCGCTCTTGAGTATATAGTCTATTCGATAAATGGTTGGACTGTTTGGGTACATATCTGACCGAGTTGACCATTTGCAGCTTACATGTTAAATTCTGTTTGCAGTTCAGCACTGCGGTGGGGCTTCAGAAATGTCAACATTTATATTGGCTTTGCAGGCGTTTCGTAGAACTTGGTGATTTTCTGGTACGCTTTAGCCTCACAGACCTTAAATTTGATCACTTCATGACTGCTAATTCCTAATAATTGTAGATGTACAACTAAGTTTCTTTGAGCGTGTAGTCTCTTCTGTGCTCTGCAGAGTAAGGTTACTCTTGGGGTAGACGTATATGCCAACGCTATTTGGCTCTGATCAGTCCGTAGCCGACAGAATGAAGTTTATGGGTTAAATTCGCTACTGTTGATCTCCGGTATTAGCTAGGATTCTGTAGGGGCAACATCATGTGTGACTTTTAAGTGAGCGACAACACATAACTCAGTCCATTTTTCCAAATAACTGAAGGTATTTTTGTATTATGCCCCTACGCCCTACTGATGGAGGTTTAGTAATCATCAAACTCCTAAATTATTCGGCCAGAAAACCTCCAATGATAAGGTATTTCTCGTCAGCGCCAGGCAGTTCAGTTAATTTAATTAAAGTAGACCGCAGGCTGATGCTTTGTACACGTGCCAGATCCACGACAAATAAACACTGCACAGAGTTGCTCCTGTCTTACTTTTCAAGTTAACCCTGACTTTAAGGAGGCTAGCCTGAAGAGTGAGCTTTTTTGTCTATGCATTGTTGATTGTAGATCGTAATGCCTGCTACTTTCAGGTTGGATGGTTTTTTGAAATATATTGGGGTGATCTAGAGCATGTTAAGGCCAGGTGATGGGGCATGCTTAGCCTGATAACTCTATTTTGTGAAAAATTATCGATTTAGCGTGGTTGACATTCTTGTTTATAAAATGTCCGTTTCCACCGTTCCGTCGGCAACGGCGGTTTTCAAGTTTGCTTCATGCAACATACATGTGATCATTCATTCTCACTCTCCTCTCTACTTTACCTTGATGGTGACTGATTGTAGCCCGCTTGAGTTTTTATTAAGGTGGAATTTACATTGGTGACATAGTGTACAGGTTGTAAACCGACTTCTGTAGGTCGACAACTCCCGCCCTGCATTTTCCTTCTGTAGGGGACTTGGCATGTTTTAATTGGAGCTAGCTAAAAATAGTCTGGTTAAAAAGACTGCTGGACTTGGTGGTGGCACTAAAAGCATTATTGATGTCGAGGTGGCGGTCATTTTCCCCCTGAGATTAGAGAATTTGGCTTTCATGATACTTTTGTGATACAACAGGTAACACCGTATTCAGCTACATCAATTACTGAGCAGTCAGTGCTAGCGGTTTTCGCAATAATATTCGTAGACTACAGGAGTCAGGTCAGTGTATTTGTGGAGGCATCAGTCGTAGAATATAAATTCAGCGGTCAAACGTCCTCACGCACAGTGTTCCACAAACATACAAACTCTAATCTAATGTTTAACCATAAAGATTAGAAGTAGTTATGTTAAATTAAGTGGATAAATATTATTTGTCTCTCCTTTTGTTAACATTTAACATCTAAATACAATCAAATGGGGTACTATGGTTTAGAATATTTTCTGTAGTGACATATTTGCATCACTTTTAAACTCACTCCGCATATACCATTGATATCTTAACCTTTCGCCTACAAACTGGCCGAACTTCTCACATCTCAGACTTAGCTCCA